GCATAAATGGGCCACTACTTTTTCATTTGTTCTGAGGGTTTATTGCAAACTAAACAAAACTAAAACTCAGTGTATATTGAGCAAAGAATACCTCAATAAAAAGAATTTCCTTAAAGAACTGGCTGTATTCAGTTGATTAATAGATAAGCAAGAAGTAATAACTTTGCAGTAATGCTTTGATTGAATTCTCACTAATAATTTTAGAAAAATCAAAGCTGAGTATAATTAAAGTAAAATGATCTAGCTTGATCCATTTCACAGAGAACAGCTGATAAGATTTTACTCTGAATCTGATGTATGAAGCTTGACCTTGGGGGGAAAAAAAGTGTTAGTAACAAAATTTAGAAATCCACGGAGATCAATAGCATGCCTATATTTTTGTGTGTGCTATAAAAGTGACAAAGGCCAAGGGGAGTTACCTTAAATCTTTATGGTTGTTTGATCTTATGAAAATACAGGGCTTTGGACTGGAGCCCGGAGCTGCAGGTTTTTAGCTGGAGCGGAGATGGAGCACAGCTCCAAAGCCCTGCTTATGAACCTACACACCAAGCAATAAATCATTCTTAATTGCCATCAGTCAGTATAGAAACATGCCCTTTTTTCACGGTGAAGTATAACAATTAATATCCAAATAGTAATTTTGCAAGTATTGTCCAAGGTTACAGGAAAAGAACGATATTAACATTATTGTTAAATATAATGCAATAATGGATCAGAATAATAATCAGTATTGTTTCAAACAAAAGCATTAAAAAAGGTTCCAAAATAAAGAACTGATGTTCTAAAGAAATATTACAGAAATTAGGATGTACTAAGTCTTCTGAACCATTTAATCAAAGTAGAACCAGTTTCTACAAAAAAATCAAACAATGAAGTAACAAAAAGGCAAGGAGTATACAACAAGGGGGAAAGTACCACAAAACATTGCTCGTCAGATATTCTTAAACTTATATAGCATACCATCTTTCAACCATAGTGCTTTATGGTGGGTAAATATTACATAAATGCTATATGAAAATACTTGATGGGAAATTTTCAGAAGTGCTCAATGGTGTCATCCTAACTGTGCTCCCATTGAAGTCAATAGTAAAACTCACTGACTTCAATGGTGGACAGTTAAGCCAACATGTCGAGTACTTTTGAAAAATCTGTGTTGTGGGTGTATAGAAAATCTCTCTCAGACAGACAGACGTTATCTTCTCCCTCTCCCTTTATGTGTCACTTGTATTCTTTGGCTCAAAGTTCTTTAGAGGAAGGACCATGCCTTCATATACCTTTGTACAGCCCCTCACAAAGTAGGGTCTTAATCATGACTGGGACTTCTAACTACTACTACAATACAATCATTTATTTATATAGCTGTTCCTAGCAATCTAACTATATTTACATATAAACACATGCATGCGGAAATACTGTTGTGCTGTAACAGTTGCTGTGTTCCACCCCAACGGTAGCTACTGTACTTGCACATACAAACTAAGATACAAGCTACTTCTGGGGTGAAATGTAACAGTTGTTGACTGCAATGATTCCTAAAAAGAAAACTGTACCCAAATACATGAAGAAAATAAATTAATCAGTGAATTTAGCCAGAAAACCAGAACTAAAACTTCTTCTGAAGGCTTTATGTTGTTTTTCCTGTCCAGCGGTGATATTTCTAGGATTTAAACTTACTGTATATAAATCTTCATATACGAAATGGAAATTATACCATTTATAAATTCAGAAAGTTTTGGTAGCATTTTAAAACAAATTACTTACATAATAAATCACAGCACTGGCCCATTTATACTACTGACTCAGTCTCCAACAATGCTCATGATTTCAGCATCACCTCAGAAGCAGGTAAGAATTAGTAATAAGTGACACAAATGACAAAGCAGAGAAGTATGCACAAGAGTGAATACATCAGCCTTGAAACTAGAGAAACAGGACTTAATTTAGGAAGCAGCTTTTAAAACATGCTAAACAGCGAATAACTTTAGAGATATTAGAAACAGTTGCAGTATGAAATTACAAAATAAATTAAAGGAATATAATTTGTTTTCATAATTATAAGGAACACAAAACAAAAGTGAGTGTGAACATATCAAACCTGTCTAATTTCAATGCAAAATGTGTAGCTTAAACGTATGGGTGTTTCCTTCCTTTAAGGCCCATGGTCTTTTGTGGGAAACAATCTGTCCAAAATTCAGTATATGCTTCCACTTAAGAGTGCAAACACTTCTGGTCAAAAATTAAGCATTTACACATAGCACCATAAATGCACAACCTGCTTTATAAAATACAAAGCAAGAGTCTCTTCCCCAAAGGATGTATCGTTTAGCAACTTAAACAAAACAGAGCAGGTAATGGAATGTGTGGAAAGATAACTAACTGGTGAGCAGAAAGACAAAAAAAGTATTGGTAGAAGAAGGGAGTTTAAGAGAAAGATTAGCATGAGAGGAATGTATGTTGCCTACAAAAAAAGACTAGGGCTCAGAGTTATGTCACCATAGTCAGAATCGCCACTTTTATAGTGTTCCCTTCACAGAGCTGTTATCTTTATCATATGCGCTACTTAAACCAACCACAAATATATACTTCCCAATGTGAATGCTATCAAGTTTAGAAAACTGACCACCACCCATTCTTCCAAATACAAATCTGAACCAGAGTATTATGAAACAACCATATACTGTAAACACTTTCAGCTGTTCACAATTGCACAAAAAGTTACCATCACACAAGAAAAATCAGTGAACATACGGTTAAAACCAAACTGAACAAATGATTCTGAAAATTAATCTGAACAGCATTTAGCCCTTACAAAGCTTAGCCTACTTCCTCCAATTACTACTTTATCTGTCAATATTTGTTATGTAGTAATAAATCAGCCATCTCTTTCTGTCAGATGAATGGCCAAGTTCTCTTCCAAGTACAGCCAACAACTTTTTCTACCCAACACCAAATAACACCCCTCCTCATGAAAATTACATATTTGCAACTTTAGTAGTTCTTCCTGAATGACTGCACCATTTAATCCAAAGTATGGGATTTCTCTAGTACATCAGAGTCCTCACCCTTCCTCATAGCACCAATCTGGAGCCATTTTTACTTCATTTTTCTAAGAGCTAAAGATCCAATAATGTTAAAAAGAAGCAACTTCTGGTGCTCTCCCTGGAAGCAGCAAAATTCAGCATGTCTGTAAAGCAAACTTTCCCTTCAAGCTCTTTTATGCAAAAAGAGATTTCTTTTTAAGTTAGAATATGCAAAAACATGATTGGGAGGAGGTTGAAAACAATAACTGAATATATCAAATCAAGTATAACTTGGAGTAGGTGAATGGCTAAGATTGAAGGCAACCTGTAATTCCCTGTAAGTACCTTCAAAGCCAATTAAAATTTAACCTTTATATTGTTAAATATGAGCAGACTGCAGAAGAGGTAAAACAATCATCATCCCCAGCTTGTTCCTCAATCCAGCAGAAAAGTGCAATTGCCGGGCTACAAGTCTAATCATCGGTCAGATGCTCTTTTCCTAAGGTATCTTATAAAGCAGGGGTTCTCAAACTGGGGGTCGGGACCCCTCGAGGGGTCACGAGGTTATTAGATGGGGGGTCACAAGCTGTCAGCATCCACCCCAAACCCCGCTTTGCCTCCAGCATTTATAATGGTATTAAATATATTTAAAAGTGTTTTTAATTTATAAAGGGGGGGTCACCAGTACAAAAGTTTGAGAACCACTGTTCTAAAGGAAGGTAATCACCAGTGGGAAAAGATCTCAGAAGCACCAAAACATCTGGTGTGTTACCATCTCTCATATAATTTACACTCTCCCCTTACCACCAAGCTTCAAATTTTAACACAAAAGACAAAAAACAAAATAGACAAACCTTCATGGTCTTCTCAATTGGAAGGATTTAGTTCTTAACCCCACCACACACACAACTCCATTGCAAACACATTTAGTAATGTGCATTTAATTACATCATTTCCATCCCCTTGCTTATGGTTCCCTCTCATCGCAAATATCTGGGTACCATGTCCCATTGCTTTATGGAGCTTCATAGACAGACACAGCAGTCCCTGCCCTGAAGAGCTTAAAATGCATGCATGAACATTGCTGCTGCAAGTGTCTAAGTACACAGGAGGGGAAGAACCAGGGAACTCACCGACATTGCTGTGTGCACCATGGGGAGGGGAGGAGAGGAGAGGAGTACAATCTCTTGTCTACACTACAGACTTAACCCCCACCTCTCACCCCCTACATAGCGCTATGTTGGCTTTTCAGGGGTAATCAATTATTTTTTGTCAAGTTCCACATTTCTTGGTCAAGGTACAGTCAAGGTCCAGACTCCAGAGAAAATAAAAAATAATAATGAGGCTAGTAATAAGCAAATAAAAAGATTTCACTGTCCAAATGCATCCAGATTTGGCCTGTGGTCCACCTATTGACTGCCCCTGGCTTAGAGCGCCTTCATTTAAAGCCCTACGGCGGGCCTGTGCCGATGCAACATGTTAAGAGTAGACGTGCCATACACCCAATGCCTCTACCCCCTGTTGTAAGGAGAAAGAACAAATACCCAGTCCCAGCTAAGGGTAACCAGGGAGAGGGGAAGAGGGAATGGTCCCCCGAATCTCCCTGGGTAGACCAGGAGAGAGAGAATGGGGGAAGGGGGCAGTTGGCCAGCCCCCATTGGGCAGCCCCCGGGGGGAGTGGGGTTGGGGGCGTTGGAGGTAACTGGCCCTCTGCCTAGGGCATGCGGGAGGGGCGTCGGGGGTGACCGGCTAGCCCCCTGCCTAGGGCGCTCCAGCTGATGGGGGGTTTGGGGACGTAGGAGGCGGCCGGCCGCCCCCCGGGCAGCGGGGGGTGGGTTGGGAAGTAACCGGGCAGCCCCGGGAGGGGACGGGGGTTGGATTTGGGGGGGTGTCCGGCCTCCCCTAGGGGGACTCTCCTGCCTTAGCCCGTGCCCAGCTCCGGGTCCCGGGCAGCCCCTGCGCGCAGCGGCGCCCCCTTACCCATGCTGTGCCCGCCCGCCCGGGCCGGGGGAACCGCTCCGTGTCCTGCCGCCGCCAGCCGCTCCTCCCGCTGTCGCGCTCAGGCCGGGCACGGCGGCTCCATCCGGCCGGCCGCGGGGGCGGAGCAGCTGCGACAAGCCGGCGAGGCCCCGAGGCAGCCGCCGCAGACTCCCCTGGGCGAGACCCGCTCTGGCACCGGCCGCGGCAGCCGCAGCTCGAGCTCCCGGCCGGGGGGGCGCCACATCCCGCGAGAGCTCGGCGCCCGCCTGCCGCCCTGCTCCGCGCTGGGTTCTGCCCGCTGTTGCCAGGTGCCGTGACGTGCCGCCCGCCCCGGCCCGGGCCGAGAGCAGGGTGGGGAGCCGCCCCTCGCCCTGCCGTCGGAGTGTCTGCCCCGTCCCCACATGGCACTGCCTCCCCCCAGGATCTTCTCGCTCCGGCCCGGGGGGGGCAATACCCACCCCCCATCCACACAGGGGAGAGACATCCCCCCCATGTACACACACAGGGCACATACACCCACACCAGAGAATCCCCACACACAGGAGAAATATCCCACCCCGCCAGAGATCCACAACTCACACAGGGATAAATTCTCACGCTCAGGGGAGACACAAACACACTCACACAGGGAGTTATTCATGTCGCTGAAGTTGCATAACTTAGATTGATCTCCCCCCCAGTGTAGACCAGGCCTTTGTGTCTGACCAAATCCAAGGGCTGGTCTACACTGGGGCGGGGATTGATCTAAGATAGGCAACTTCAGCTATGCGAATAGCGTAGCTGAAGTCGACGTTTCTAAGATCAAATTACCTGGGGTTCACACGGCGCAGGATCGACGTCCGCGGCTTCCCCGTCGACTGCGCTACTGCTACGGGAACCCACAACAGGAGAGGCAACTCTAGATTTAGTCCTGAGTGGAGCGCAGGAGCTGGTCCAAGAGGTAACTATAGCAGGACTGCTTGGAAATAGTGACCATAATACAATAGCGTTCAACATCTCTGTGGTGGGAAGACCATCTCAACAGCCCAGCACTATGGCATTTATAAAAAGACTTCCTTTAAAAAGTAGAAGTCAAATCCTAGTGAGGCAAATAGAAAGGAGCATAAATGCTGCCAAATTAAGTGCAAGAATGTAATAAGAAAAGCCAAAGAGGAGTTTGAAGAACGGCTAGCCAAAAACTCCAAAGGTAATAACAAAATGTTTTTTAAGTATATCAGAAGCAGGAAGCCTGCTAAACAACCAGTGGGGCCCCTTGATGATCGAGATACAAAAGGAGTAGCTGAAGAAATAACCTGCCGTTCATCAGGGCTGCATAACGCAAGGGTTTGCATATCGCTAAAT